TTTTTTTTTAATTATTTTTAACATAACTAATTATGTCATTTTTTTATTTATTTATTTAACATCAAACTATTGGCATCAATATTATGTCAACTCCTTTTTGGAAGACTTTATTGAAGACTTCCAGGTTTAGCTTTATAATGGTTAAAGGGATATTACACAGTAATACCAATTTTTTTCATCTGTCAGCAAGACAGCACATTTCCCCAGTTAATGCTAAGCTAGTGTTTTAAAACCACTTTTTTTTAATATACATGTAAGTAAATGATCTAACTATAATCAGGGATTCTTTAAAAAATTTGTTTTTTATGTGAATTTGGGGAGAATGTTTGTAGCAATTCTGTTGTTTTGAGCATAGAATTGCTACAATCTATGCACCTAATCAGTGTGTCGAGTAATAGTTACTAGTGTTTTGTTTCCATGCCATAAACAGGAGCAGCCTCACTGCCGTGACAGCCGATCTACTATCTCAGGCAGTCGGGGAGGAGGAATTGCGTATGACTCTCTGGGCAGACCAGCCATATACAACAACTCCCGGAGGGGGAGAGAAAGGCCTCTGGACAGAGACGAGGAAAGTCGTCTCAGAGTGGAGAGATATGTGAAAAACAGCTCTTTATCTTTGGTAAGTGTGTCTTAGTGTGCGTGTCAAGGCTTGAGTTCGCCAAACTGTGGAATGCCTCGGCTCCATATTACTAACCCCTGCATAGTTAACCTGATGATGATGCAATCAAAATCTGTTCTGTGTCTTTGTAGCCGGAAACTCACTACCACGCTCCTCTCACGCAAATGCCTCAGAGAATGCAAACGCCCGACTTTCTGAGGTCGATGAACGGCAGCCCCATTGTCCCACTGGATGTGGGTTTGCGACTGGGAAGCATCACCAAAAATCACCAACACCCTCCCGTGAGCAGCACCTGCCCACCCATAAGGGACGACGATGATGAAGTGGACGAAGGGCTGGGCGGTCCTGCCAGTCAAGAGCAACCTTTTGATCAAGACAGCGAGACGAACAGCTCTCAGGTGTCTGAGGGTCACAGCGTGCCCTGCCACCCCAGTAATGGCCTGTTAAAATACAAAAGGATCCCAAGCCCCCATCCGGTTAATCCCCACGCCTCTATAATCCACAAGGCTCAAATAGTTTAACAGCTGGTGAGAAAATAATACGTGAAACTACAGAACTGCACCGCTTTTGTGGATGCGGTTGACTCCAAAGCATCTTTAGGGCATTTCTTATTGCTGCCTGCTGTTTGGCATAATACTGTATTCCCCAAATGTTTGCAGAGCTACTGGAAACCAAAGACAATATCACACATTTTCCAGTGCAGCAAATTCAGCATCATCACCGATGATATTCCTTTCTGAGCTTTCACAACACAGCTGTTGCTCTAACCAGCTGCAGGTGAATGCAGCTGCCCGAGCTTATGAGGGGATATCGAAAGCACTTGTTGTGGAAAAAACAGGAAATACAGGAGGAGTAAACAAGGCTGTGGGAAAGTCGGTAAATCTAAAAAGTAGATTGCAAGAGATTGTGGTGAGTGTAAGAGTAACTGCCTGTGTTACATTCTCTTACACAACATTGGTTGGGACCTGATCCAGATTTTTTTGGCTTGTTCATCTCTGGCCACACCTGCAACCTCCATACCTTCATATTGTCTTACTGTCCTGCCGCCGTAGGCACTGAGACAGTTTGAATCAGATGAAACCTTAATACCAAAACAAGATTAATGTCCCTTACATGTAGTGATCTGTAAATCTGTACAAATACACGAGTGATCTCCCTTTTCTTAAAAAAACAAAGAACAAAAAAACCAAACAAAGAAAACTACAAACGCCTTTGAAATAGAGCTGTAATACTTAAATCTGAAGTAACAAAGACACAGCATAGTAACAACAACAAATAAAATGTGCTGCATCCATCTGCCAGGTGACGCATCCTTCTGCCTCAGTGGCCTCTTTCACATGCACATAGTACATGTGTACTGCAAACATACTGATGTATACATATATAAGATTAGAGATGAAAAAGCATATACGAAGCATGCACACTTAATACATTAGAGTGCATTTATGTTCAGTCTGTCGATGTTTACACACACAGTATGAATGTCAACGTCAATGGAATCTGGAAAAGCTGCCAAATATTTGGAAAACATAGTTAGAATTGATCAGTCTGTAAGTATTCCTGGATTCTCACAAAGCAGATCATAGAAATGAAAAAAAAGGTTGCCACACATGGACTTTCTGTACAGTTTGGAACATTTCCTCCAAAAGAGGACCGTGTCTTTCCAAAAGGAGTTTCACAGGGACATGTTACAGCCTTTGATTGCAGCATAAAAGCCAAACATGTATTGTTTATCTGTGTACACATTTAAAAAAAAATATCTGTTATGAGTATTGGGGAAAATGTGCCAAAGGGAAAACATGAAAAAAAAAACAGGTTTGCTATTCTGACAAATATGAAGTATTATATTGTTTGTTACATACATTTTATTGTTTCCTTTTTGTTATGTTATCTGCTGTAAATACGACTTTTTTCCGAGACACTTGTCTGATGTTGTTTTAGTTGTGTAAAAAGTGTGCTGGGACAGTTTGTGGCAAACTTAAAGTGATGTGTGACTATTATCTGGCAGCACCTAACAAATGAGAAGCCATAATGTCTGAAAGCAAATGCATTTGCAGACAGCGCCCCCTGGTGTATACTGCTGGAAAGTGCAGGGGCCTGACTGAGGCAACAAACTGCAGAACTAACCAACTATGAAAGATTGTGATCCAGATGATCTTTTTGGACATTTGCCTGGATTTCTAATTATTTGGAGCGCTTTGGATGGTTATCAGCTAGTACTGATGGGTTGAAATAAATGTATGTGGTTTTTCTAAAGGTGCAGGTGTACAGCACTTTAGTTACTCATTTAGTCATTCATTTTTTAAACTATTTTTTATATTGTAGAAAAAACTGAAGGCACAGAAACTATTACATTTTGTAGTTTTCTTCTTCTTTGAGCTGCTCCAGTCTGTCTCTACCAACCGTCTGCATGTCCTCCTTTACTTCATCCATAATCTCCCTCTTTGGTCTTGCTCCCAAAGAACATCTTTGCCACCTCCGCCTCCCGACTTCATCTCCAAATCATACATCACAGCAGGTCTCACTTTTAAACCTTCCCTTTTGGGGTTTTTTGCTGCCTATGTTCACTGTCTGTTGCTTTGGTTGATCCCAGGTATTTAAACCCATCTGCCCTCACAGCTGAAATCAAAAAAGATTCAAGTATAACGCCAATTCTTGCCTCTTCAGTCTCAGTGCTCTCACTCAGTAGGTACTGTTAATTGCAGAATTAGGAGGCTAATTAACCTTTTCACTGCAGCTCCTGGGACTTCTGGTCTCCTTCCCCAGAGGCTCTCCTTGTAATAGGAGCTTCATCATCACATCAGATGGGTTTTTTCACTTGAAACAGAACTTGCTCAAAGCGGGGACGTTGGGATACCAACAGTTTTTGCTCTTTTGTTGTAGTTATCGTAGCAAACTAAACCTTAAAGAAACATCTTGGCCACTGAATAATTTACTATATTTTTAGTTCCTGTCCAATGGCTTCTATCACTGTGCATTGTCCATATATCCAATTGCTTCATCAGAGTTAATGTAGTCATCTTGGTTGCAACAGGATGAATATGTTTAAATGAACCAGCACCCACTGAGTCATGCTAACTGTCAGAGTCCTCGAACCACAGGCACAGCAGGAGGAGTGGCAGCCTTCCTCAAGGCTGGTTCTGCCCTACTTTGTTCCTGCTAAAAGGGTGTTTTTCCTCCCCACTGTCACAGAGTGCTTACTCATATGCGCTTGTTGTTGTGATTGTTGGGGTTTTCCTAAGAGTACTGTTGGGCAAGGGTGTCAAACATAAATCGGTCTGGTAAAGACTCCAGTTCAGACCACTGGACAGCTATGATAAATATGATGGAGTTTAATTTTTCCATGCATCTTAATGTTTTCCCCTCCCTTATGGAAATTCATGCATCAAAACTAATAGATAAACAATTAGATGGCAGGACCCTTTCTGTTTTTTCTTAACTACTGATTCTGATACTATCAAAATGTCTCTTTTTTTTCATCCATAGTAACAAAACAAAACAAAAAAGATAAATAAATACATTTAAAAAACAGGATGTTTCCTGTGAATTAAGAAAAACGTTGTTTTGTAATAATAGGGCAGACTGGAGAATGAGCTACCAGTTTTTTTTAGAAATGTAATTTGACACTTTTATTTCTTAAAATGTATGCCCAAAGAGAGACGCAAGAGATTTCTTACATTTATGTATTTATATTTAGATATGTTGTTGAAAGTGCTCTGCTTTTTCTAATACTAAGATCAAATGTGCAGTTAAACACCTTTATACTGACAGGAAAGGGCCAACTCAAAATCACAGAGGATGAATGTTTGTGGTATTTTTACCTTCATCACAGATATTAAAGAACAGCCAATAACTTAATAAATAAAAACAAGCCATTTAGAACTAACGTATGCAGGGATTTTCTAACTCCTTAGCCCTTCTAATTTTAGAGTGAATTAATGCATAACTTTCCCCATGTTTGCAATTAAACAAATGACCCCAAACCAGTGACTGTACAGGTCTGTGAGGGTCCATGGTTTTGTGGAAGGACTGCACACTTCACCTGCCTCATAATCCTGCCTGACCCTCAGAAAAGAAACCTGTTATAATGGCGTGGAGCAACAACACGAACCCTTTGACAACACTACCAAATATTCTATTCATTTTAGTTAAAGTTTTTAATTAATAAAGAAATAAATGTATATTAAATATGGTATAATACTGTAATTATATAAATAAATGCATTATTTACTGGAAGCCTCGTACGACGCTTTAGCTTTGTTAACAAAGTCATTATTCATGCGAAAAGGTTGCCCACCAACTAAATGAATGAATGAATGAATAAATAAATAAATAAATAAATAAGTAAATAAAGTAAGTTTACCGCTGGCCTGCGCTCGGAAGTGTGCGACGAGTGATGTCATGCGGAGGGAGGAAACCGATCTCAACAGCTAAGATGGCGGAGGAGCAGCAAGAGTCATCACAGGGAGAGATGGAGGGTGAGAGAAACAGTTACACCAACAAATGTCAAGCAAAGTGCGCTGTCATTTCTCTTCTAAACAAAGCTCTTATTCACACGAGCATCTGTAAAGCGTTTCAGCCGTTACCTCCTCCGTGCTGAATCTGGCTGATGTGCAGCGGTGAGGGGCACACAGAGGCCAGAGCTTCTGGGCTAACGTTAGCTAGCTGCCACTGCTACACAAAGAAAAAAAAGCTTGTTTAGTTAATGTCAGGGCAGCAGTGAGTGACAGTTCCAGAGGTTTTGACTTTTGGAAATGCTTAAAATGTGTACTTAATATTAAAGAAAAGACGTCGTATTTTTAGTTTGTAAAACTGCGACTGTCGTCGTGGCTAAAATTTGTTTTGTTTTCGCACAAGTCGCGCTAGCCAAGTTTAGCTGACTGACGTTAGCTTGTAGGTTAACTTGTTTTCATGTTAAATGCTGACCAAGGGCTAAATGCGCTCTTGTTTGCTTATTGGTGTCGGCAGGTGACGAAAACGGAAAGGGGAAGTGTGTCTTTGTCAATTGATTTATTCCAGATTTTATTACATTTTGTTTACATGCAGCTGTCTGGCATTATAACGAAATCAGTGGTTTCGCCAGTGAGAAGGAAAACACCGAGCTAAAAGGGCTTTTTGACAAAAGACAAACCTTTAAAGCAAAACGACATGCAGGACCTGGCAACGTTACTTTTATTAAGATACTAGTTCCTTACCTACACTGTATTACGGGTAATCAAGTTTATTTATTTATTTTTACATCCAAGATAATGTAGTCGCATTTAATTGTGATTGCTAAATCCAAGCTAGGCATTTTAAAAAATATCCTAGAATAACCAAGTAATATAAAGTTATTTCAGTTTTAGTCCCTGGCTTGTCCGGGTATTACATTGTCACACAGCGTTGCAGGTGCAATGCAGGTACACTGACAGTGTCACTAGGTCACATCTGCTTAAACACACCAATTGTAAAAGTGAATTCAGTCAGAGATGGCCCAAATAGGCTTGTTCTGAATCCCATCCAATACCGATACCTTAGCTTTGCTATCTGCTAATACTGACTAGCGATAGGATACCGGTTTTAAATGAATAATCTATATCAATGTGAGCAAGAGACTAGAAAGTATTCTTTTATGTTTCAGGAAACACGAGACTCAAGTTAAAACATTTCCTAACTTCGAAAAAACTAAAAAGGAATGAATAAATAAATATAATTCTATACAATTTTTGGTATTTGTTAGTGAATTAAAAGAAAACAGCTCTAGGATACACGTGGCAAAGTAAACACAGAGCAACACAGAAGTGAATCGAATGGGCTGGCTCGTTATCACTGATAGCCGGTCCAGTTTTCACGGTTGCTATCGGATCAATATCCAATCCAAATATTGAATTTGTGCAACAGTTGTTTTCCTAGTAGCAAATGCTTGCATCCTAACTTTCTGAAACACTAAAAGCTGGAACTAGCTTTCAGTTCATCCTTTTTTCAATTTTTTCATTTTTTTAAACCACAGATCTGGGCAGTAGATCACATTAGGGTCCCTCTACTAAAGACGTTAACCTAATCAGTTTTTAAACATTTGAGTTTTCTCAGACTAGCATCCTTTGACGAAACATTAACACCTCTATACAGCTTGCACAGTTTGGGAAGATGGAGTTGTGCTTTGATACTGTAGATGTTTGTAGGGCAGTTTCAGTCTCAGTTTCAGAACTGTTACAGTGCTATTGTCTGTATATAGCACCATAAATGCTACTACATTTATGGTATTGTAAATCTGCTTCTAGTCTGATGTGCAGTTAAAATCCCAATGCCACAGCTTCACCCTCCTCCATGTCGGCCAGTATGTCATTTAAGTACTACTCTACTCCTGAAGCCTCTTAAATATGTCACTCTTGTCTTACAGGAGTGAACTGCCTAGCATATGATGAGGCCATAATTGCTCAACAGGACCGGATTCAGCAGGAGGTAAGAAAGCCTTTAGTTTGGAAAGCAAAAAGAAATAAAGATGACTTTGTGTTATTCTCGGGATCCGGATGAACAAATTTCCACATTCCACTGTCTTTATTTATTTATTTTTTATTTATTTTTTTCACAGTTACAACTTCAGAAATCTCAGATGACATGTGGACAGGGCTATAAAAGCATCATTTGCACTCTGAACACAAATGAGATGCATTTCTTTGAGAATCTATCTGTGCAGTAATTACACTGACCTTGACCTGTAACAGGCTTTATGTGCACAGCTGTGAGATTATGATGAGCATAAAAAGAAATGTCACTAATGCATAATCACTGACATACTGTTTAATAAAAAGTCTAAAAACAAGTATTGAGATGGATTGCAATGACTAATTTGCAATTTTGTGTGTGTGGTTGTGCAGATAGCCAACAGTAACCCTTTAGTGTCAGACAGACAGGACCTGTCGGTGCTGCAGAGCGAGTACGCTGAGGATGACACGGTTTATCAGCTCAAGATCAAGGTCAGTCAGAGCGCTGCACCTCTCAGGTTACTGCAGCCACACGTCAATCCAAAGTTTCTCTGTTTAAATTCGCAAAAACTGTTTTGGATCTGGTGTTACAGATTTTTAAAAATTATTGTTATTACAGGACCTGCACAAAAAATACGCGTACATTCGCAAGACGCGACCAGATGGAAACTGTTTCTACAGAGCCTTTGGCTTTGCACATCTCGAGTCCCTGCTAGATGACAGCAAAGAACTTCAGAGGTGAGTGCCAGAGTGGTTACTGTGTGTGCTCTGCTGGCTGTTAGTGTCTATGCTCAAATTCACACTTCATCATCATCTCAGACGATTTAAATGCGTTCTGCTGCTGTTCTGTCTGTTCATCGGATGTATGAGTGTGTGTGGGCAGTACACTGTGTTCTGTTTTCAATATTTTAAAATTCGGATAAGCACATAGGCGGCTGTAATATTTACAATTTTTACTTTTTAAATACACATTTTGTCTCATCAGGTTCAAAGCAGTTGCAGCTAAAAGTAAACTGGATCTGGTTAACGAAGGTTTCACTGAGTTTACTATTGAAGATTTTCACAATACTGTGAGTATTCTGCCAAACCTAAATGACTATTTTTGTGAAGTTGCTACAAATGCAAATGGATGTCATCTAGTTAGATACATTTGTTTTATTGTCTGTTTTTTTTTTTTTACATTGTTGCTGTAAATAAGCTTAAAAAAAGAGGTGTAAAACCCTCAACCTGATTGACAGCATATCATTTGTTATGTTGGTTAAGGTGCAAATGATTTTTCCTTATTGATTAGCCAATTTTAGATGGCCATCTGCCAGAGCACATGTTTTGGCCAGTTAAATAGAAAGTTGGCAAAGCTGAGGCCTGAGTACATGAGTCTAAACATGTAAATCTTGTCTTTCTTGCTAGTTCATGGACCTGATTGACCTATGTGAGAAACAGCCGAGCCTGCAGGAGCTGCTGAACTCCTTCAATGACCAGAACGTATCAGACTATGTGGTGGTGTACCTGCGGTTGCTCACCTCAGGCTACTTGCAGCGACAGCATACCTTCTTTCAGCATTTCATAGAGGGTGGGCGCACTGTCAAGGAGTTCTGCCAGCAGGTGAAGGTTTTCCCTACGTAGATAATCATTTTCCTGCTTTTAAATTTAAATATAATGTACGTAACTGTTGAACTGTTATGACAGACGTTATTGTGTAAAAGAGTACACTGTTTGCCATTCTGGTATAAAAAACACGTTTTATTGTCTGAAACTCGCACCTAATGTGCTTTTTTCTTCTCTTTTTCCAAGGAGGTAGAGCCAATGTCTAAAGAAAGTGACCACATTCACATCATCGCCTTAGCTCAGGCCTTGGACGTATCCATTCTGGTGGAGTACATGGATAGAGGAGAGGGAGGAACAGTCAATCACCACGTCTTTCCCGAAGGCGGAGACCCCCGCATCTTCCTCCTCTATAGACCTGGCCATTACGACATCTTGTACAAATAGCACTCCTGGCCACAGCCCATCTCATGCATCTCCTGCTGTGTGCCGCAGCAGCGCATTCAAGAAATCCTACCAGCAGCCATGCTGATGAAACATACATCTGTGTATGAGATTACACTCGTGTATTTGGAAAAAAAAAAACGAAAAAGAGAGAGAAAATCACATTACTTGCCTCATTTGCCCTTCTTGCCCCAAACCCCCAAATTTACCTTCAGTCATGACAAAATGATTAAATTAAAAAAAAAAATCTTTGGAAATATAGAAGTGACTCCAACCATTTAGAGTTGTACAGGGTTTTTTTTTTCTTTTGTGGTTGTAAATGTTATCTACTTTGTTTCTTTTCCTTTGTTACACTGCGTTTCATTGAGTTTTATTAAAGCAATTTACATCTTATTTCTTGTGTCAGTATGATTTGTTTTTCAGTTAAATATTGAAAGTCTTTTTGTGTAAACAACACTGCACGTTGATGCATATTTGATGTCAGTACTGTGCTGCATCCATCTGTAGGAACCTGGTATAACCATACTTGAATTGAAAGCATTATTGCATTATTCCTGCAGGGAGAGGAGAAAGACGAATATGGGACCAAACAGTAATAAATTGTATATGACCTACAAGAGAAAACGTACATGTTAAAAGGTTTTTGGTACCTAGAAAGCGTTTGATATGTAGTTCTCAATATACAGATGTCAGTGATGTACACGGACAGCTGCTTTTTGACAGAATGGTTAAGTGGGTGTATGTTGTTTACGCTTGCACTCACACATGCGCAGTTCCGTCACTGCAGCATAACCGAACCAAAGATCGTCTATAACCATAAAATACTTTGCTCTTTAGCATTTTATGGACGTTGAGTCCTGTTGGTACCAAGAAAAAATACCAAAGTGAGAACTCTTACGTTAAAGGTTAGAGTGAAACTAAGGCAAGATGTCTCCGTTTTTAAAGTCGTTTTTGTCCGGCAGAAGAGTTTTGGGGGCTTATTTGCGGTATCATTCTTCTCTAACTGGTATGTATAAACATGTTATATTTTTTTAATACCAGGCTAGCCTGACTGAGATGTGTTCATGACATTTCATGCTACACGTGACTGCAGACTAATAAGCTACAGCTAGCAACTAGCTACAACACCTTAGCCATTCACAGAGACGAAGGACTCTGCTGTGACTGGGGTGCAAGCTAGTGACGTATTCACTGAAAAAAAAGCAGTTGTACCACGAGGTAGTCCTGTAGTACAGTCGGCTGCTAGTTTACACGTTAAAGCCCATTAAAGGTCATCGTAGCTGTGTAGAAAGATGTGCTTTAAGTCTCTAATCGCAGCCGCAGTGTGTCTTCTAAACACTTAGCCAAACACCTGTCAACAACATCATAAACCGCAGCTTCCGAAAAGCTGAACCAAACAGCAAAGCATGTTTATCACGTGGATTTGACTCAAAGGTTTTGTGCATCTTTACAACAATATCAGCAATGCATAAATGTATCTTATACACACTGCTGTTGTATAAACTTGGAAATCACATCAAAGTTGAGGGAACTTCCTCAAAAGAAACTATTAGTGTCTATTTATAACCTAAGAAAAGAGCTCAGTCATGATCATGCTAAAATAACCGACGTTTTGTGTATTACTGATAACTCCTGTGTCCCATCTTTGTTTCACTGTAGCTGAACTGATTGAAAACATGGATAAGAAAGCAACCTGGGACCGCTTCTACACCGAGACCAGCAGCGGGAAAGCCACCTTCAAAAACTTTGAGTGGTTTTTTGGTTTCGATTCTGTCCGAGACTTCATCATGCCCCTCTTGCAAACTATGTCTCGCCCAAACGCTGCGCTCCACGTGGTGGATATGGGCTGTGGTACGTCAGCACTGGGACCCTCTATCTACAGTCACTCTCCTGTCTCCGTCCATGTCACTTGTGCTGACATTTCCCCCATAGCTGTGAAACTAATGCAGGAACACATTCAAGCTAAAGCCATTCAACCTCACAGCTGTTCTTCTCAAATTGAGTTCGTAGAGCTGGACTGCACACAGCTTGATAAACGCTTCAGTCCTAGTACTGTGGACCTTATAATTGACAAGGGGACCACTGATGCCTTGTTAAGGTCCAGGGAGGGGAAGCGAAATGCCAGCCTGGTCTTGAAGCAGTGTTTAAGGGTGTTGCGGAGTTCAGGGTCCTTGCTCCAGTTTTCTGATGAGGACCCTGACTCCAGGCTTATTTGGCTGGAGACGGCTGCACAGGATCCGGGAGTGATGACAGCAGATGTTGGGGTGCAGGAAGTTGGAGAGCTAAGGGGGATCCATTACTACTGCTACCAGGTGACCCCTCACCCTGCTCTATAACTGAAACTTTTTACTCCAATAAATAAATAAAATAATACAACACAATTGTCATTAATATAATTCTTTGTGTAATATCATCTCTGAACTGTAAATCAGTGTTTCATGTTTGAGTTGCATAGATTTGGAAATCTCTCTCTTTCATTACTTGTCACACACTGCCATCTAGTGGCCAGCAGGCACCCAGCATCCAGGATTTCAATCCCATCCAGCAGAACACAACACTGTGATACAATTTGCAAAGTAAATGTTCTCTATACTTACATCACACATATGCCTCTTTTAGAGAAATATTTAAAAGACATGTAGAGTAGAGTAGAAACATTTCCAGGCCTGGAGACGGCAGTTTTAGGTACACGTTAGTAATGTTTAAAGCCCAGTAGTTTTGGGCGATCATATTATGGAAGTACTTCTATATATATCTAACTTATATATAGAGAGATAAGTAGGCAAAGTTGTTGTGATGTTGTGGCAGTGTGTTTTCCAGGTTGCGACCACATTGCTCATTTCCTCTTTGTAAACAGAAGAGTAGCTCTAGGTACAAAGTACCAAAGTTACAGTGCACTACAATAGGGAAGAAAAAAAAGGGAAGAAAAAACATCAGCTAGACACATTAATGGTTTCCAATCAAATTAATATTTTTTGGCAGTGATGGATCTCCCGCATTCAGATATTATTTCTGATTTATTAATTCATGTTACTCAGATTTATTTATGAGAAACATCTAAATACCTTGCAGCTTTACATAATGCATCACAAATGTCATTCGGTTCATCCAATTCTAGCTTTTTGGGAGGGTGGGTGGGTGGAAAAGGTGTCTCTCTAACACTCTGTGGGAAGAAGCTGGACTACTCACACACAGAGAGAAACGCCACAAAGAAATGATGATGAGGGATGCTTGTTGGGAGGTAACAGTGCATTGTGCATTTCAACCTGTCAGGCAGTAGTCCCATGCGTTTTCGAATCCTCCACCATCATACCAGTCTCCAAAAGACCGGACATGTCCACCTTAAACGACTTCAGGCCAGTGGCACTCACACCAATTGCCATGAAATGCCTCGAAAAACTGGTTCTCACACACATCAACCACATGGCCCAAGACACTGCTGATAGCCCTCAGTTTGCCTACCCCCCCAGTCAATCAGTGGATGACAGGGTGTAGCAATACCCTTACACCACGCTCTGCAACATCTGGAAAGTAGCAGAATGTATGCCATTAGATTTATTTCTTGATTTGTCCAGTTTTGTTGTGGAAGGTGTGAGGTTAAAATATTCATTTGAAGTCTTCTTGAAGTGGGAATGGCAAAATGCTTCTTCAGCTTCAGGATCTTCTTTGGTGTGATACTCCTGAACTTTGCCAACATGCCACCCAGTGGGACATACCAGTGGCCTTTAGTGTTTGCGTTGTTGGTCTGTGAGTATTGATTATTGCCACACTCCTACTGCAGTTTGTACAGATCAGTGAAAAAAGTATCAGGAACAAAGTATCAGGCTCGACTTTTCTGAATTTGTTTTTATTTTCTTATGACATAAATGTTAAAACACGAATTTAACCGATAAACTGTTATGGGAAAATATTAAAAAAGAGAAACAGTGTGATTAAAAATAGATTTTAGAGGAAACGCTGCTCAATCTGATGAATGTAAAATATGTATGAAAATACTCTGATTAAATATTAGCATGAATTTTAACCAAATGAAGCTTGTTTATGAATGGCAGCAATGCAGTTCAGTGACTCATCATCATCATCATTGTCACCACCATTTGTAAAATCATTCTTTAAACAAGCTGAGAAATGTTACTGGCTCGTCTTCATCCCCCTGCTCAGCATTCATGCAGAAAAATGGCGGGTTGAGTTTTTGGGGATCGACTAATCCAATGACATTGTTATAGAAGCTGAAAAACAGAAACAAATGAAGCAAAATGAATCAGAGGATGCCAACAGTTTCCTTCAACCAGGATCACAGATTCTCAGAGACTTTAGAGTGTGAGAAAAAGCCAGTGCCCTACTGAGGGACCCAGTTCAGTGTTTACTGGCAAATATTAAGGGAAAAAACGCAACGTGACAAATAGTTTTGGAAACATGCATGAAAGTTCTAGAACAATATTAAAAGCCTTCTGCCCACTGACCTGTTGACCACCCAGTCACCGCTGCTGGTGTGGTACAGAGTACTGACGGGGATGCATCCAAACTGGGTGACAGTGGTAAAGTACTTGGCTGCAGAAACAAGAAGTGGATCACATGGGAGCCGAGGCAGCGCAACCAGACAAGCAGGTTTGTTTGTGATCAACACAAGAGAATGTCATGTGTTACAAACTAACACATGACTTTGCAATTTTTCGCTTTGATTTCCTCTTATTGTACCTGATCCCGTCTTCGTCTTCTCCTCCCCGTACCAACTGTTGACCAGGACTCCCTGTCCAGGACCAGAAGAGGCGCCCAACACAACCTGGCCCATCAGGGTGGCATTTCTTGGAACTGCCAGCGGGTGGAAGTCAGGGCTCAGATGCTGCTTAGTGCATGTGCGGTTCTTGTTGTTTATTTTGTACATAACACCCTAGAGGACAAGGCACCATTACACATTCATTTATGGTATCCAGGATAAACTTGAATGCAAATATTACTGCTGTGCCGTCGCTACCTCTCTGTACAGTAGAAGCACATCAAGGTGGTAGGTCTTATTGTCATAGAGTCCAAACTGTCTGAAGCGGATGCGCTCTCCCAGTCCATCATAGATGTACTTGGAGAATGCCAGCAGTTTCTGATTTGCAGTGGACTTTCAAACAGAGGCAAATGTTCGTCATTGCAGATTACTTCTCACAGATTACTCTGAATAACTAACAACTGCATTAGGTATCAGTTGTTATTGCAACACTCAAATGTAATCGAGGGATATGAGAGGAGACTTACCACAGACAGGCTTCCGCTCATCAGTGGCGGGTATCCTGTGAAAATTAAAGCATTTTGGAGGATTTACACTACAGATGTGCTACATTGCTAACTTGGTCATTCTACACTGAAGCAAAAACAAATCGGCACCATCAGTTCTGACGCTAAAGCAAGAGAACTGCTGCATTTGGAGACATCTGAAGAAAGACCACTTTCTTCAGATGTTTGCGTACTCACTGCAATGCCGTGGTCTCTGAGCGAGACAGCCCACGGACAGGCACACAAGCAGGACGAGGACCTTCATGCTGTTCGATTGCAGATCTGAATGTTTTCCTCTGCAACAGCTGCTCATATGACACTGCTTCAAAAATATCACTTCCTTAAAAAACAAGCAGGTGATACTCCCATTCTGTTTTCGCTGCCAAGTTTTTTGTTTGTCATTTCTCAATACGCCAGTTATGTGAGAATAAAAGTCAAGGGGAATGTCTTTTAATAGTAGAAACTGCGTTTTAGCTGTTTTGACCCCTAACTAACAAACCAAGGGGAGGAGCTAGAAGGCTGACTGAAGAGAAAGTTGAGAGGATAGACTGCATGTAGATAAAGAGCAGCATTTGTAACCTTAACCACTCCCACTTCATATGTACACAAACTACTTTAACAAGCTAGAAACTATGTCTGCTGGTAGAGGTGACTAGTGTCACCTCTCTGGTGAACCAACCCAGAAAGCAAGTAACAACTGGAAACCAGCAAGGTGGGCATTAAACATAAAGACTTTTGATCCTCCAGGACTTTTTTTTTTTTCTCTTGAAACCATTAAGTCACATGTTGTTTTTTTTGTGTCAATAGACAGATTGAGAATACATCCTTCTTTACCTTTTCTTATGAAACAAGAAATACACCGCATGCATTCATGTGTTACATTTGTACTGATGAACACAAGATGTGGCCACAACACAGTGTTAGAAAATGGGAAGTAAGAAAAGCAAATATGACAGGCAATAACCTGTTACAAAAAAAACCAAACCAAACCAGATGATTTGTCGAACCGCTTTATCATTTTCTGCATGCCAAAAAGATTGCAAAGTTCATCCCGGTTAGAGATACACAGAAAGAACAATGAGGCCAAACTCGTCCTCCATGTTTTAAACAGGAATACATGCAATTACATGCCATTCATTTTTACTTATTGAATGCCAATTTCCAACATTGGTGATCTCAGTGCACTGCGCAAGGTAAAAGCCCGGCGAAGCCTTCACTGCAGCTTAAAGAACAAGCTGGTGAAATCTTCAGGCGGCTCTCCATTCGACGTCATCTCTGTTGGGCAGAAGTCGGGGGGGTTGAGCTGACCGGGGTCAGAAATCCCAACGACGTTGTTGAAGAAGCTGGTGAGCACAAAAAAAAAGGGACACAGCTTTTACTTGGACGCACGCAAACGTATTTCATTCTACATTTTTCACACTATAGACTTGAGAGGAAACGAACCCTGTCACCATCCATCCATACTCTTGTGTCTGGTACATAGTGTTGACTGGAATGCATCCGAATTCAGTGAAGGTGGTCAGGTACTTTCCTGGAAGGACAGACATGAAATGTGTCCATAAACAGAGTGCAGATAAACAGCCAGGATGACAGTTCTGAACATTAGATGCCAACTCACCTGTGTTTCCAGGAAGATTTCCAGTCCAGGTGTTGACCAGGAGTCCTTCACCAGGTCCAGATGAGCTGCCCAGGACGGCTTGGCCCACCAGAGTTGAATTTATTGGGATTTCCATAGGATGGAAGTCTGCCTTCAGAGGCTTTTTCTTGCACGTACGAGCTTTGTCGTCGATCTCATACATGGCAGCCTGGTGCATGAGTTGTGGGGTAAGAATGAGAATTTCTTTTGCTGTTACATACAATATGATTCAGTCTAAAGATGATGGTTATTTCAGTAACTTCTGTTTGCTGAAGATGGAAATAACAACCAAAACCTAGCACAGAAATAACATATATGGGTGCTCACACCCAAAATTATGCCATAATATCTATTCTAATCAAGAGAAAGATGTGCTAACCTTAAACTAATTAAATATGCTGTCATTGTCTGGGTTTTTTTTGTTTGTTTTTTTAAATATGGCCCGCTTTTTAATTGCGTCAGTTGCACATGCTTACTAGTTCCCATTATATTCCATTAAAACATTAAGGAAAGAAAATACTTTCTTATAACATGTTGTGTTGTTGGCCTCATGCGTCTCCACTTCAGTAGAATCGTATCAGCAGTGATTTGCACACTAAAACAAATATTTGAGACGTTCTTGTGTTTGCTTTGGTCACCTCTCTGAAGAGCAGCAGGGCGTCATAGGTGAAAGACTTGTTCTGGTAGTTCCCCAGCTCCATGAGCCGGACCCTTTGTCCCCATGCATCGTACAGGTATTTGGCATAAACCCACAGCTTTTCATTCTGTGTGGACTGGAGAATATGAATGACAATTAAATGTGGTTGCACGTTTGGTTCAAGTACAACTTTCATTTTCTTTGTTTGCTTTCCAGACTGTCAGACGTGCTCACTCGCCATAAACATCAATCTGGACCTTGACCTGAGCACTGAAATGTCTGGACTTGTATCTCAACACCACAAGACCACCTCATTCCTAACTCCGATGCAGTGGCTGACACACTTTTATTCTTTTTTTTTAAATGCTTTTTACCCACTGTTCACCCAGACATTAAACAATGGGTCATATTTTATGTTTCAATCAAACATTGCTAATGCACAACAACAACAGAGGCTCATTTCTCCCTCATAATTAATAGCAATAGCAAAAGTTTTAAGTACACAAAGCATAAACTCACAACAGTGAGGGCTCCAGTCAGAAAGGGAGGGCTTTCTGCGTGAAATAAGAGAAAACAGAATTATTTATTAATATTTACAAGTCAGCGAGAGAAAACAGCAATGAGAACCCAACAGTGAGCTATCACTGTAACCACAACAGAGCTCGTCTCCGATTTCCTTCTTTTACTTACTGCATGGGCGAGGTTTCTCTGCCAGGCAGCCTGCCAGCACGCACACTAACACCACAAAGAGTTTCATCTTCGAGGAATCCGCAGACTTTCTCACAGGTAGTTGCGAAGTCTCTGTTGCTCTAGAGGAGCTGCACTTCCTTATATATGCTGACAGATGACCAGACAGGCCTAGATGCTTCCGCGTTTTATTTTCAACCAACATCTGAGGGCTCAAGTTCAGATTCGGGTGTCGTCAGGGTGAGGTTGCAGTGTAAGCCCATAAAAGGAAAGCTGGTTAATGTTTTCCAAGGGCAAGAGACTCATACAGCAGAGTGTGTGTAGACTATATTTGCTTACAAATGTACAAATTATGCAACAAAAGTTAAACATAACCCCATTATGACCACCTGCCTCATATTGTGTGATGCACTCTGTATCCTGACATCTTTCTATCAGAACCACATTTAATCTGAGCTACGGCAGCTCGTCCATTGCTCGCCCCCACGTTTTATCAGTGAGCCTTGGCTGTCCACGACCGAGTCTCTGGTTCACCACTGTTCTTCATGGACCACTTTTCATAGATACCCACACCGGCCACCGCAGATTGAGAACATCCCACAAGAGCTGCAGTGTTTGGAAATGTTCTGACTCAGTCTCCAAACAGTCACAGTTTGGCGCTCGTCAAACTCACGCTAATCGTTACGCTTGCAGTTTTTCGTGCTTCTAACACACCTTTGAGGGCAAAATGTTCACCTGCTCCCTAACATATCCCACCCACTACCACGATGAAGAGACCATCGGTGTTATTCTTCTATCTGTAGGTGCTTATAATGTTATGCCAACTCTATTCATACAGTGAGGACAAACTTCAAAAATACACCGCTTTCCAGTCGAATATTCACAACAGCGCTTATTGATACTGTGTCACTGCGCACAGTGGGCCAAGGGTAAAGCACGCTGTGTTTACAAAAGAGGGCAGCTCATAAAGTCCGAACAGGATTTTGGCCGAATGGGGACGGGTAAACATGTGCGCATGAATGACATCACTGTCATGTGACTGTAGAGGTGTGTGACTGCTGTCAGCAGACCTAACCACCTGACAGCTTTAGATAAACTTACAAACCTACTACTTTAAAATGCATTAATTACATATATAAGCCTATACAAAACTTGTGCTATACAAGAAGGCGTTTCTAATATTGCAGTTCACACACATCCTTTGCAAGTTATGCTATGTGTAGTATTACAGTGTAAATTCTCCGAATTATTTTTGCTTTCATCATTGTCATCATCTTAATAATTCTACTCTTGGCTGACTCAGTAATGCACCTTGTGAGATGTTTTTAATGTGTACGAGCAGAGCATTTCTACTGTTATCATTTTCCATTTGGAAATTGAACAAACACCAACAGTTACAAGGGTATCTGACCTACAGGTGTAGACCTGCAGCAGTCATGTGTTGCACTGAAATGATGTCAGTCAGGTCTTTCTACTGTATTCACCTTGACCATGTTGCACACCCCTTGTAAAGATAAATGGACTATATTTACATTACACTTTTCCCCATTGGCAGTTTGCAAAGCACTTTGCAAAGGGCTCCATTTAATTACCTGTTAACACACACACACCGGTACACAACTAATGGTGGATCTGCTACACAAGGTACTTTTTCTGTTGTCAGAAGCCATTTTTAGTTGATTGTCTCTGCACTACATAAACCTCGCTGCCATAAAGCACGCTGCAGGAACTCATTCCTACCACTCTCTGTAAAGTTGTATAGTAACAACTCTTCATTCTGTGACAGGTGCCACACCTGTCAGGCATATGGTCCCAAACACATTTTTGTATGCAGCTTTTTCTCACGATTTAATTTGTACATTTTATTTATTAATGCAATTTGTACTTCTCCCTTACAAATGTCAGTCTTACTAACATCATTTTTCTTTTTCTTTGTTTTTTTATCACTGTTGTAAATATATAAATTCCTGCACTATCTCATAGTATGAGGCCCTTACCAGGCACCTGTGGCCCTTTTTTTAAACTGTGCTGTTTATTGTAGACTGTACCCTTCATCGTGCTGCTGTAACACATCAATTTCCCTTGTGCAATCAATAAAGTATCTTTTTCAAACATCTATCACTCATTTATTGGACCATATGCACCAAAAACATTTCAGTAGAGAAGACTGCACAATAATCATCTTCATGTAGCCTGTTTACACAGATTTTACAGTTCACTAAACAGTGCTGGCTTTTATCATCAAAGTTAATTAATTTTTTTATCTATATTGTTACAAAAGGACAAAATATGCAGTGATACAAACAAGAAAAGAAGACAATACAACAGTTGCACATATTTGCATATTTTACATGTCATTAGAATTGTGTTCGAGTCACATGTGCATGAACGCATTGTGTGGTTATGCGGATGTGCATTATGAGACATTTTGTCAAGTTGTGCAACATTACCAAGCAAGCACAGCAATAGAGGGATTTTACAGCCCTGGGGTATTGGATCATTTTTCAGTCTAAGAGGAGTGGATTGGGGGACAGCACCACAAATAAAGGCCCCAGACCCCAAACACAACATGTTTTTATATCCCAGTAAAAGGACAGACTACTTAAAATCTTCCATAATAGCATTCAAAACGACTTCAAACAGCATCAGGTGATTCACTCCCTTTCCAGTTAGGCAGCAATCCACTCATAGAGAGGAGACAGTGATGGATAACATCTTTTAAAAAATATTTTTTCTCTTATCAAATCATGTTTCCTTGTGACTGCAGTCACATGGTTTTTGTGACTTCCAATTAAAAAAAAAAAGGTACAATAAGAAAAATTTCTGTCAGGTGTGAGATCTTTGACCACCTGATGAAAAGAGCCTAAGATGTTAACTGTTTGATAATCTGCTGACAATAATGAAACCACATAAATAATTTTGTAGCATTTGTCTCTTCAGATCCTTCTCTTATAAAAGAATGATCTCTTGTAACTAAATGTAGCACCCAAAAGCGCTTTGTAAATCTGTTACACTTCTTGCTTCCAAGAAAAGGGTGCACAGTGCATTTATCGGTACATTTAAAAAAAAGAAAAGCAGTCAGTTCCAAAAACTTGCCAAAACAAAAATTTTCAATTTTTTGTGGATAGCAATAAATAGTGTCCAACGTCTCAAAGTTTTTGAGGAGAAACGTTTGAGTTTGGGTCCAGTGGAGGTAGTTTGAGCAGGTGGCAAATCTGATTGCACTCAGGTCCATGCTGATATTTCAGGAACAAACTGAGCCCTCTGGCAGCAAAGTTAGAAGGACCCTTAGGGATCCTGGTGGAGTGAATCTGTGGGTCTGTGAGGTAGGTCAGTCCTTTGCCGTTGGCTGTCACCCATCCTGTGGAAAAATAAATGGATGACTACTAATCTTTGTCATGTGACAATATTACGTTCAGTGAAAAGCAGCAGATGTCACACACCTTGTAAATCTACAACGACTTCCTGGCCACCAGAGAACAGGTAGGTGAAGTGTCCAAATGCGAGGCCATAATCTGTAGCATGGAACATCTTCTCCTTCTTTTCAGTGTTGTTGGTCAGTTTGACAAAGTCTCCAAGCATGTAGGGCTCCACGGTTACACAGCCCACAATCTCATCTCCATCCAGAATCTGATCACCGGAAAACAAGAGAGATATTTTGTAACATTTGAAGACTGTTTGGATTCTACTGGTAGCAACAATATTACTAAAATAAATCTTTGTATTTAAATGTTACTAATCTCAGTAATCCATTGGCGCTATGTGTCTTTTGGGTTTGTGATTGGCTCTCAGCACACACATTGTTGTACTGTTGTATTGTGTTTATAAAGATAAATGGCAGTACACAGTCTGGTTTACACTCAGTGAATAATGATAAAGGCTCTCTGTCTTTGGCCCAAATCAATAAATACTTTCCACACAGAATTAAATTGTAAAAATTTGCAGATCATAGCACCTCCTAGACTAATAACCTACAGAATAATTGCTTGACTATATCACAAAACAGATTTCTAGCTCTAAACTGAAAGTATTACATTTCAAGCTGCTGCAGTCCGTACCAAACTCTGGATGTGGGCTTCTATTAAAGCTGTTTTTGCAAAGTAAGCACTTTGAATGCAACATTTGTTATCTTGAATTCCTTTAAATAAGTGTTTCCAGCAGTCCCTCACCAACAGGGCTTCTGACGGAATAAAGAAGATCTGAGCCATAACTTCTTTGTCGTAGAGACTTTTGTTGAATTCAGTCACATAGTACTGGGCTGTCATCTGTCGCTCCACATCTTTCAGAGGAAACTGGATCAGCTTTGGCTTCAAGTAATCTTTCCCCACATAACTAAGGACAAATACAGGAAAAAGATCAGACTTCAAGTCACCATATTTAGGTTGAACCAAGATTGCTACCATACTTGCTTAGCCGCTCCTCCTGGTGTAAAAACTGCACCCATATTGTTGTTCTCTGCGCGCCCTTCTCCCCCATTGAGTCACCAATGTAAACACAAGTTTCCATGGCTGTCCACAGTCCGGTGGCCTTGGAGAACTTTAAATGGAGAGCACCTAGATAGAGATCAACAGACAATTACAAGCTCTTTTGTTCTGTAAGACAAGGCTGGGGTTGATATATAAAAGCTACCCGCCTGCTGAACTCATTGGTGCTCATTTTCATGGAAAAAAAGATCATCTCAGCCCCTTAAATGGGGACATAGACCTATGGTCACGAGCTCTGGGTAGACACTGAACGAACAAGTGGCTGAAATAAGCTTTCTCTGTAGGGTGTCTGGTCTTTGCCTTAGAGATAGCACCTCAGCTGGCTCCTTACGATGTGGAAGAGTAGCGGGTTTACTCAGAGCCTCTTCTAGATGACTGAGCTCCTCATAATCGAAAGGAGCCAGCTGAGGTGCTTTGGACACCTGATAAGGAAGCCTCCTTGGCATCTCCTGGGTGAGCTCCGGAGGGAGGGGCAGCCCCAGGACACAATGGAGAGATGATATCTCTCAGCTGGTCTGGGAACGCCTCCATGTTTCCCCTGGATAAGGTAGAGGAGGTAGCTAGAGAGGGGGTCTGGGCTTCCCTGCTTAGGCTGCAGCCCCTGTAACCTGGTTCCAGATAAATGGAAGAAAATGGATGGATGTAGCCCATTGAATAAGAAACTAAAGCCAAGCCATCTGTGAAGGTGGTAATTGGTCTAATTCTTATATAGCCAGATCTGTATGATATATATATAGCATATAGATCTGGGTGTGAGCACAGAAGCCCTACTTATATGGTTTAAACCTCCTATTTATGAGAGTGCAGCTAATCAGAAGAAAGTGAGGGAGGCTTAAAGGAGTCAGAACTGCTATGTATGAAGTGAGGCGCAGCCCAGTGTAGAAAGAAAATAAGGATTGTCATAAATGTGAATCATGCAAAACTATAGAATCAGATTCCAAGTATAAATTTAAAAGGGGAGCTGGAAAAAAATGGTGCAAAATGAAATCATCACGAGTGCTGAACATAAATATCTGTGCCAAACTCTGCTGGAATCCATCCACACCTCACTCAAAACAGCAAGTGTGAACATCATGGTGTCACTACAGGGAAAGTGACAGTAGAATATATCGTTTGGGGACGGGGAATGTGAGTGTTTAAAATTTCACAGTAATCCATCCAACGCGTGATCATACATAATATATTTTACATTTAAGATATTTTTATCTAGAGTGACAGAATGATGCTGACACCCTAGAGCCATAGTTCTTCTGCAGCTCACAGAAAGTACTGATGGTGACAAAGGAAGAGCAGGAATGTAAACTTACTGTGGGCAGTTTTGTACTGCTCCAACTTGAATTTTTTCTCATCATTGTGCAACCTCTTCAACAGACAATCATTGCAAATGCCAGCCAGAAGGGCTCGGTAATCCCATTGTGACAACAAGAAGGGTTTCATAGGGACAGCATCAGCTACAGTGCTTGGGTCTAGGCAGCTGTAGCACATGGAGTTCTTCTTCTGGGGCACATTCTGCACCTCAGTTTGTTGACAACAACTTTGGTTTACCTCCAGGACTCCAAATGAACTCTTTGTAGAGGTTTCAGTGACAGGTAACAGTTCTGTGACAGCTTGAGATTGATTATTTTGCATTGCTAAAGTGCTGTTTGTTGCAGGTTGTACTTCAGTTTCTGCATTTTGGTAAACTTTGGGGCTTTTGATCGGTTGTGGTTTTAATAAAGCACGTATTTTCTGGTTTTTGCTCATGTGATCAGAAGGGGAATCATCTGTTTCAAAATCGACCGTTTCACAAATGAAGAAGCTCCCATCTGAATCTGGTGAATCGCTGTTTTGGCAAGCTCCTGCTTTGGAAATACTACTTGGTTGTGGTTTCCTGTATGTGGGAGAATTCAGATCAGCTGAAAGTTTTTCCCATGATGACTGGGAACCGAAACTGTCCCCAAGGGAGCAAGAGGATGTTATAGATAGCTGGGATAAGGACTGCACTACTCCTTCAGCTATTGCCTCAGCAGCATCAGACATCACATCCTCTTCAGAGGTCAGCGTTTCTATTTCAGCTTTTATCATCTGAAAGTTTTCTGAATCTCTGCTCATGCTGGAGGAGGAAGTGGCAGGTAGTGCAGAACTGACACCAGAGTTACAACCCTGTAAGTTTCGCTTCTTGTTTTCATGGGGAGACTGTGACTTGTCGTCTGACCTTTCTTCATCATCTTCTGTGGGTAGACAGCTCTGATTGGTCGCTCCCTCTCTATGTCCAATAGCACTGCTTCCTGTATAGCTTCTGCTGGGCTGAGAAGAGCCTGAACTTGTTATGGACACTTCCTGCCACGAGGAGCCAAGGATATCTGTGCTTTCAGGCTTTTGAGGCATATGCACGCTGGATGAATGTGAGCCTCCCTGAGCCTCTGTGTTGAGTGTGCCAGTGGTTGTCCAAAGCGCTGTTATACACAGCCTTCCTCTGTCCATCTCTATCTCATCTTTAGCATCCCTACAGTGTGTGTTAGTGGTCTCACACAGTGACTCGTGATACTTTTGGAACCGCCTCATTATCTTAGCGAAACCTGCATGAGTAAAATTTACAGAGGTGTCTTTGACATTTCTGTAGCTGTCAGGGACAAAAGACCCCTTGTCTGAATTAAGGAAAGGCTCCACTCGGAGAAGCAGCTTGACTTGGGTGACCAGGTGCATGATCTCAGTGCACAGGCTGTCTTTGTCTTGGGTACCAGCATGGCAGTAACTGTAAAAACTAGATAAAGCATTTTGACAAGCTTGAACTGCCTGTGCTACAACCTCCAAAGGAGTTCCAAGCCACTTGTGAGTGACAGTGAGGGAATAGGCAGCTTTTAGAAAGGTATGAAGCTCCTGCTTGCTGGTTACCAGATCACCCTCTGCTCTGGTGAGAAGGCCAATTGTAAATGCTTCTTGTGCCTGCTGGAGAAATGACTGTCTTTGAGAATCTGGGCACTCCACAGAGAAACTGTATGATAGCAAGCAGGTACCTTGGGTTGTCTAAAGAAAAACACAAACAGAGGAACAATTACATAAACACAGGAAAGATCTCGTTTACGATCCTACATTCTGTGCAAAAGTCTTTAGCCACCCCTCATTTCTTTACTCACTCATTTTCAGTGCCGTTCTTGTACCTGACAGTATTCAAGCATTAAGAAGAACCTAACTCAATGCATGTACTAGTACTGTGTCTACACATAACAGACAAATTATCATAGAACCAATTTTGTATCTTTAGGCATTTTGTTATTAGCAGTCTGTCACAAAAACACATAATTTGTTCCCATTATTTTGGTTAATTCTACGAAAAAGGTCAAAGATAACACAGCTCGACAGGCATATATTATTATTTTACTTAGCATATCTTGCCATGATGTGCGATTTGTGATTAAAAAAACAGAGAATTGGAGAAGAGAAAAAGTGTCAGGCCTAAAAAACTTTCTACAGTGGATGAACTTTTTTTGAAAGTCTTATCTTTAAGAAATACGAAAAAATCCAGCAAAAGGTTGACATAGGAGCTGAGGGATGCATCTAGCCCACTAGTGGATCCAGCTACTGTTTGCTCATCAAGAATGGAAAGGGAATAGGAATGGAAATAACACACAAACTACACTGAAAATCAGTGGCGACCAGAGTGACAAATCCAAATGTGAAATTTTTGGTTCAAATTGTCATCAATTTGTACAGAGTAGGCCAGGAGAGAGGTACAACAGCGAGGGTCTATGGCCATCTGTAGGCTCTGTCACTGGGGCTGCAGTGGTGTTGGTGAGCTTGTCAAAATAATGGAACCCAAACCTCAACATTACTGAAACACTGTAAGGTCAGTGGAACAAAAGCCATCCAGCATCCAAGTAAGAGCTTTGAAATGTCCTTTTAGAACGCTGAAGAGCTGTTCCCGAAAATTCCTTAAACAAATTAGAAGAAAGCTGCGTGCAGGCTGTGTTGAAGAATAAATGTGGAATTGTACTGTTTCGCCCTCTGTACTATATTGCCATGTATGTTTACACGTGTTTAAATAATTCACTGCAGGTTTTCCTATTTTCATAGTAAAATATAAAGAAATGAGGGGTGGCTTCAGAGTTTTGCGCAGTGCTATACATCCAAAAAAAAGTTGGGTCACTGTATGTAAATATAAGCAAACAGCTGACAAATCATTTAAACCCTCTATTTACCTGAAAATATCATATCAAGACATAACGAAATGATGATATTCAAAAACTGGTAAACGGCCTGTATTTGTATAGCGCTTTTCTAGTCCCTAAGGACCCCAAAGCGCTTTACACAACCTGTCATCCACCCATGCACACACTATAGTCACACATTCAAAAAAGGTCTTTTTAAAAAGTTGGGAGAAAAAGTGAAAACCAGTACTGAATGATTGTGATCTTTGAACTATTAGACATTAGAGGAAACCACTGTCTGGGTTAAGGAACTATGCATGAAAACCAGGATCCAGAATATCCCCTACCTCTGGGACTGAGGCAAAGGGGAAAACTTTCCTGTGGTCTGACTGACTAATCAAAATTTATATTTCTGACTGAATCACTGATTTTGCATCCTTTGGGTTAAAAGGAGAGGAACCATCCAGCCTGTGATCTGGACACTATACAAAGCAATGACATGGCTACACACATGTGAAACTTGCATCTCTGTGAAGGCCTTATTTATGCTGAACTAAGGCTGTCAGACACCAGATTTTTACTCTGTTAATATCAGTGCTAAAAACCACAATTACAGATTAAGAAGCATTAGTCAAATTCATCTCTAACTCGTGTTTTTTGGGGGGCAAATGAATCACAATAAAAAAACAAGCGTTGGAAAGTGGAGAATCTCTAAGTAACTATACAAAACCACATAAAAATATTTATTTTTTAAAATATCATGGTTATCATCAGTAAAAGAATACTGAAACATCTCTTATATGGACCAATATCATTTTGGGTTTTGGAGCAACACATTGCTTTTCAGGAAGGCCTCGCTTATTTCAGAATGAAAAGGCCAAACCACATTCTTCAGGTATGTCAGCAGCACAGTACAGCACTGTGATTGCTTAACTGGGATGCTAAGAGTCCTAAGCTGTCACTAATAGAATCACCTGACACGTTATCAAACATAAAATATGGCAAAGGTGACTCCGTCTTGCTCAAGTAAAGTAAAATGCTTTATCAAGCAACAAAATTATTTGCCCTCCACGTCAGTTCCCAAACACAGGTAGTGTTGAAAGACAAGCTGATTAACCACAGTAGTTAACATTGCTCAGTTCTCATGTGGTACTGAATTCAAAATCGTTTAAGCGTTTAGTTTTGCAAAAACAAAAACTATCACAGGCTAAATACAGGCTTTAAAAATCGTTAAGAAGTTAATTAACATTTTAAAAATCCCTTTTTTTGATGGAGCATTGCATTCAAGGGGATAAGTTGTCTAACCCTGCAGTCACACTAGAGAAAACAGTAGTTGAAGACCACAAAACAACCAAAATTATTGCAAACATGTGCCATGGTTTG